AGGAAATTAAGTTTGGTTGAAAACTTTAAAACAATCTCTCTAAGGGAAAAAAGAATAGGTAAAAACCGAGATATTGAGAGTGGGAAGATGGTGTTGAGAAAGGGGCTTTGGAGACAGAATGACATTTTCTTTGGTAAATGTAGCATTTGACTTCCAGTAATGGTGACATTTTAGCTTGGTGCAGACTGAGGAAAATGTTAATAATCGATTGAGAAATGGCTTCAAGGTTTGGTTCAAACTGCTTCAGCATCTACATATGCAGTAAGATGCAGAGGGAAAAATATAAGTAATATAGCTGAATTCACTCTAGGCAAAATTATTTCAAAGAAAGATTAAAGACTGATAGCCAGATGCAAAATGCAGGGGAAGGGGATTCTTCAGCAATTCAGTAAAGAATAATAGTAGACCTTTTAAGATAGAGAAGTAAGGCACACACTCATAAAAATGTAAAGGCTGTTATACATATTCCAACTTTAAAGTGTACATTGAAAATTTTCTGTAGGCCTGCATAATAATGTGAATGACAAGCATGCCTTCTAATGTGATAGAGAGCTTGCAAAAGGCTGCAACAAAATGCATATTTCACAGTAATATAGATGTGAAGGTCTAGCAGAAGAATTCAAATTATTGCTGATTCACCCCAACTAAGATAAAATCCAGAACTATAGATTAGACTGGGAAGTTGAAAAAAATATCCAGAGAAGAGCAATGCTAAATACTTTATTGCTGTTGACAGGAAAGCTTCATGGAAGTAGAGTTGAATTTGACTCAAAGGAGACATTTAGCATTGTTTGATGCCTATAGCTAATGCAGCATCTAAACCAATCTTGCTTGCCTGATCTTAAAAAAATGAAGAAAGTTGAATTCCATAATTGGATAGGAAACTACTAGAGTTCTAGTTAAAAGTAAAAAACAAACAAACACCTGAAAGGCAATATATTTAGGCATTGCTGCCACAAAACTACACACCTATGCAGTTATTATGAGTTAACCTTGATCTGAGCATCTTTTTTCTTTTTGTAGGAAAATATAAAGTATTTTATATTAGGGCCCAAAGATAAAAGGTACTGTGCTTTTGGCTAAATTTCAGATAGCCATGGAATTTAATGGCAGAATTTCAGCCACAAAAAATAGAGCCTTTGTTCAACAAAGAATGCTTGGAACAAAACTGCTTTATCTGCAGGAATATGATATGTATTCTTATTGCATATAATATGATTACTTATTGCAGTTTGTATGCTTCTTAATCCAACAAGATTCAAAGAGGTTTTGAATTAAAGTAGTTCCAGGGTAGTCTTTTTCAGTGACTACTTTACTCTATCATTAAAATACATTACTGAGTAACAGCTGATACCTAATATGCTTGTACTTATTCTGTTGCTTTTCCAGTTTAGAATATCACACTGCCAAAAGTCATGTTACCTGAAAATATTTTCATTTTTATCCTACCCAGCCTATATCTCTAATACCCCTGCTTCAGAGGTGGTATTCAGCAGGTTCTGACCAGTTCTGGAGAACTGGTAGTGGAAATTTTGAGTACTTCGGAGAAACAGAAAATACCACCTCTGACTGGCCCTGCCCCCATCTAGTCTCTGCCTCCTGAGTCCCAGCTGATTGGCTGCGTCTTCTTTTGTTGCCCTGCCTAGGAGAATGGAACTGGAAAGCAGGTTAGTGGGGTGGGGAGGGAATGGGATTTTCAAGTATCCTTCCCTTGCCATGCCCACCAAGCCACATCACACCCACCAAGCTATGCCTATAGAACCGGTAGCAAAAAAATTTGAAACCCACCACTATCCTGTTTTCTATTTTTTCCCCACAGCAACTACTGTGGGGTTTGGGCAGAGAGAGAGTGACAGGCTCAAAGTCATCCAGCTGACATTCTTATTGTAAGTTATTATCCTGAACTGCAATTTTTAAAGGATCAGTTTAACTTGTGGGAGTTTACAAAAGTAATGGCAAAAAGGAATAATGTGTTTTGTGTGGAAGCAGGTAAGATTGTAGATCTTTTCAACTGTGATTTAGGAGCGTTGTTTAGCTAAAGGATTAAGGTTGTGTTTTTTTTAAAAAAAATTTCCCTGAGCACAAATAGGGGTACAATTAAGTGTAAACTGCTTTTTTGGTGAACCCCACTATATTTTACATTCTAAAACCTCTAATGAAGTTTGAGCAATCTGTAACCAACTAGGAAAAGGAAAAGGATCTGGATCATAATGAATTATGGGCACACAATAAAGGTATCAACAGAGCACAGCAGAAAATTCCATCTTATGGATCATCAGGAATGAGATGGAAAATACAAAGAACAACAAATCTATAGATGCATCTAGCATTCTAGTCATCACATCTGAAAAAAAAGTATAACTAGAAAACAGGAGAAGAGGATACCTGACTTATGAGAAAAGTCTAGAAAAATTGGGACTGAGAGGAGACAAAAGCCTTCACGACACAGAGATTTTACAGGAATGCCTTTTTCTCTCTTTTGACCAATGAAGTTATCCAATAAAGCTGATATGAAAGAGATTTAGAACAGGTAAAAACAAGTAATTCTTAACACAGAAAGTAATGAACCTTTGGAATTCATTACCCATGAGAATGATGGTAATAATGAGCTCAGATAGTTTTAAAAAGGAAATTCAATAAATTCATGGAGGATAGGCCTATCAAGAGATATTAGCCTTGGTTTCTCAATAACTTGTTTGAGCTTGAGGAAGCATGCTTCTACATACCAGTTGCAAAGGAATAATAACTGGCAAGGGGCAAGTTCCTAGTGTCTTCTTGTTAGCACCCAGAAGGCTACTTTGAGAAATCAAATGCTGGATTAAGTTAGGACTGTTCAAATACCTATGACAATGGATGTTATTAATAATTAAATATTACAAATACTAACATTTTTGGTTTGTTTTTGGAAAAGATGAAAAATGTATGAAGAATAGAAACTTAAACGAATAATTGCATAAAATTGCCCATGAGTACTTCTTAATGAATATGGATGTTTTTCGTCCCTTGGACATTCTTCAACTATGTAATCTCCCAGAAATCCCCAGCCAGCCTGGCCATTGCTGAAAATTCTGGGCCCTGAAAGCTATATATCAGGAAGGATCCCTTAGGGAAGATAAGAGGATGGTGCATATCTCACACATTTCTTCCACTTTTAGACTCTAATTGCATTCAACAATTTCAAAGCATGTGAGGAGGAGCTATTACATTAAATTACCTAATTTAAATAACAGAAAAACACATTAAAATTTAAAACACTTCATTTTCAAAACATTTGAAGAGATTTTAAAATGGGCTTGAAATGGGCTTCTCCAACTGACATAATATTGTCAGTTTCTAAAATATTGGAATGTGGAATTATATCATAACCACATAATGCATCTGCTGGGAAAGAAATTTTTTTTCTGTTTCCCATTTTCATCTGTATCTGTAAACAAAGCACAGTTTGCATGAAGGTAATTCACAATGTTGCCTTAACAGTGCAAGCTTTTATATAGAAATTGTGTGTTTGAGAGCTCGGGTTTACTTTCATAATAAAATTGGCATTTCATAGCTTGTTTAACCAGCAGTGTAGATAAATGCTTTGTGCACATGAACTAGCACAGCAGATTCAAGTACAACTTCAGTTCTGAAGATTAGTACAGACTTTCCATTTTAGTAGCTGCTACAATGTTTATACATCATCTCTAGACTTAAAGCACATGTGCACTGTAACTGCTTCCCTACATGTGCCTGTTAGCTATGGGCTCTTCCATAGACTAATAACTTGTGCAATTTCCAGATGACATGAAGTGGTTTAAACTTGCAGATTTCAAACTGGCCCATAATGAGAAGATACACTGTCAGACTTCATCTCCTCCTGTTTTCTACTCCTTCATATTTAATCATGTGGAAACTAAGCACGCTTTGCTTAGAATAATATAAAGGAAGTTCATGATGGCGCTCCTGAAATTCCTAGAGAGGTGTCAGCTGAAGAATTGGACTGCCATTTGTCAGAAATAATGTAGGGTCTCCCGCTTGGGTGGCGAGTTGGACTAGATGACCTACAAGGTCCCTTCAGCTCTGATTATCTGTTATCTGTTATCTGCCTTACAATTAATAGCAATGTCAACATCGATTCTCTATTTTCCCAGAAATAAGGAAGAATGGACTTAAACTTCAGGAAGAATATAACCATGGAACCAATTGTCTAGCAAGGTGGTCGACATTAAAAAAAAAGCTGTACAGCCATATATTGGAGAAGTATTTTAATATATCTGTTTTTCTAAATTATCTGCTAGATAGTTGCTTCATTTTGTAGGGTTCCCATATTACTTAATGAAAAACTATGTCTTTTGTCCTTATTAGAATCTATATAATTGATATTTTTCCCATTAATACTACTTCAATAACATTTCTTCCACAAACCTATCAGATGTTCCTTAGGGATCCCCCCCACACACACACAATTTACAAGGCAACAAATTAATATGTTTAAAGGGTGTGACATTAGGACACAACATTTTAAAGAAAAGATATTCTTAAACGCAATTTGTTCAAATTTCGTCTAGAAAAATTGTCCTTAACAATAAAAAGACACATACACTAAAAGCTTCCAATTTTTGCCCTACTTTAAAACAGAGAAGGGGGAGGGAGGGGAGAGAGAGAGAGAGAGAGAGAGTGAGAGAGAGAACCTGCATAAAAACAAAGTGTTCTTATTAAGTGTATAATATATCTATCTATTAAAATGTAAAAGGAAAAGAAAAGTAGGAAAGCAATCTGAAAAATTTTATGGTACCATTTTGTTATCTGAAAAATAAACTTTACTTTAAAATGTTATATGTCATAGTCCTAATGTATCAAAAAGCAAGCTCAAAATTTCCATAGAAGCCATAAAAACATTAACAATTATGCTGGAATATGAATTCAATATACTTCAAGTATTTTTTAAAACAATCAACTTGAAAGTCATGCAAAGGGATAAGAATGTTCATATGTTTCATAAACTAGAACAAATTTCCTACCTTTATACCTGTCCAAAAGTGGCTTAGAACTGAATGTTTTAGCCACTTCAGATTGGCTATTGCAGGTCACCATATTGTAGAGGTAAGCCTCAGTAGATGGGTTTTTTAAGATTGCTTCTATAGAAAAAGACAAAATAGGCTTCTCCTTCTTGTCACATTCCTTGGAGCAGCTCATCTTCATTCTACAATAGTAAACAAAATATTCTTGGTATAGGTTATATTCTTTTGGTTGTTTATTTTATGTAAGGAAAAGGCAAGTAGAAGTTGATTTTCTCTCCTTTCTGAGTTCTATTCTTACATTCAAAGGACCAAATAAGAAGAAAAATGCCCATTTCCCTCTTGGAAATTCTCCACAAAATTTAGAAATCTTAATTCATGATCATTTTATTCTGAATTGAAATGTGTTCATCCTCACCTATACTAAAATGTACCTCCTCTTTACAATTTAAAAAGTTTTAAGGATCTTCATATATTCATTTTCTCATCTTAGTCCCAATAGAAGTGTCTTTCTTTGGACACACTTCTAGGTTTTTTTAAAGCTATTCTTTCTAAAATATTAGGAGTGATGGATGGCAACCATAATACAATCAAGGACAACTGAAGGGGAAAAAATCTTGCTTTTCCCTTAAAGGACAGATCTGTTTAGGAAGTATCCCAACAGATAATCATAATGTTAGAGGTCTATTAGAACTAACTTTTCCTCCTATTCCTTTTAAATGCTCTTCTTACTTTAAATTTAGTTATGGATATATTTTTTTATAAACCTTTTTTTTAAAGTAGAAATTCTCCAGAATTTTTTCTTACCTTCAGAGGTTACCTTTTTAACTCCCTTTCCCTTGCTGCTACTCGCTGCTTTATCCTGTGATTGTACTAAAAGACAATTTCTTATTGGCCCAATTACCTGACCACTGGTGAGTTGATATTCATTCCATCATATCAATCGTTGTAAAGCTCTGGCTGAAATTACTGTGTAACCAGAAGGCAATAAAACACACCTGATAAGATGAAAGACGGTTGGCTTTTTCCAAGGACTATGAAGTTATTGTGCAGGAAAAGAAATAAATATATCATTATCCAAGTATAATAGAATGTTGTAAAATGCTTTTATGTTTACTCCAAACAGTTTCCAATGCATTCAGTGGACCTTATTTATAGATAAATATGCACAAGATTTCAACCAGACAATGTAATCTTATACTTGTCAGTTCACTGGATCAAAAGAAGCTGCCTTGTTCTGAGTTTCAACCTTGGTTTAACTTCTTAGCCTTTCTGCTAAGTAATGGACTATTATCCATCAAATGTTGCTTCCCATAGATACTGGGAATTATAGCTCAGCAATATTTGGCTGGCTGCAAACTTTCTATCTCCGGTCTGTAAAAACTAGAAGAATAGGACTTGCACAATTCTATGTGGAAATGCCAAACACTAGGTTTTTGGAAACAGAAATATACTTTGCCATGTGTTCCTTCCTGAAGCCTGCAATCCTATAAACTACCTAAGTCTAAGCTTGTCTTTACCATGTAGTACTAAAACTCTTGCTGAGAGTCTATGGAGATTTTCAGTCATCCAAGTCATGGTTGTCCCAAAGGTGCTTTTTCAGTTGCCTGAAAAGACCAGCCTCTCCGCCCTTCAAAAAATAAGTATAGACCAGTGGTGGGATTCAATTTCTTTTACTACCAGTTCTGTGGGCATGGCTTGGTGGGCCTAGATGGGGAAGGATACTGTAAAATCTCCAGTCAGAGGTGGTATTTGCTGGTTTTCCGAACTACTCAAAACTTCTGCTATCAGTTCTCCAGAACTGGTCAGAACTGCTGAATACCACCTCTGGTATAGACTCTTGAAAATGTTGTATTTCAAAAGGAATCTTTTATTTGAAGAGAGGAATAAGCAGGTCAAAATTCAAAGCAGGATCTGAGGTCCCTTAGGCCATGCAACTATGATAAAGGGAATTAGAAACCCCTCCTAACAGTCCTATGTGGATTCCACCAATCCGCAGGTGTGAAGATGTTATTTTACCAGCACCTCTGGGAAAACAGATAAGGAAAGGTTCCTGGGGTTATCTTCCGGTGCTGCAATCCACATTGTCCTTTCTATCCTTGCATCTCCCAGAATTTTCCAGGTATCCAGGGCACCAGGCAATGGTTGTAAATCGTGTAACAGTTTATATAAAAGACAATGTAAGAAATAGGATATTTAGGATACATAGGGAGGCAAAGAATTAAATGTATCAAATCCACCACCCCCTTTCACCGAAGAATGGCAGATACACAGATCTGACATTGCCTCTTGAAAAAGCACCTTTGAGACTCTTGCGGAGAGGTAAATTGAGTTGTACTGGTCATCTTAGGGCTAAAGAAGAATTGATCTCTTACCAAGCTATTGCAAGTGGTGAGTGGTTAAAGAAAAGGAAAGGGGAGAGAAAGAGGATAGTTGCTTTACTTCTTTTAATTTGAAGGGGAAAGCCTTATGCTAATACCAATAGCAAGCTCTCATCCTATAAATAGTCAGGGATTGTATTTCCTGAAGGAGGAAAAGTAAAAGCTGTGTGTGCTACGAATATCCAAAGTCTATCCAAAGTTCAAAGAGGAATAGATTGCTTTTTTTTCCTATGAGGTAGATATTGATGCTTCTTTAGAAAAGAAGAAATACCTCTCACCATCTGAGTCTGCACATGAAACAACATTTTTATATTAAAAAAAATGAAGAATAGGAAGAAACTCTTTGGCTACATACTGCAAGTAATAACAAATATCCTTGCCCACTCCTTAAGAAGATTATCATAGTTCTTGCTAAAAAGATTTTGCTTGTCTAACAGTAGTGATAAAAAAATGAATTATGGAATTAGACCAGTTATTCAGCCTTGATAGCTTGAAGAGGTGTAGGCTTCAAACCTTGGAATTCCCCAGCTAGTGGGTTTTCATAGCCATGGTTGAGAAAGTTTTGAGTATTCTCTAGGTCAGGGTGTCAAACTCAATTTCATTGAGGGCTGCATCAGGACTGTGGTTGACCTCGGGGGGGGGGCAGGTGGGTCTGGCTGACTGGGTGGATGTGGCCAACTGGGTGGGCATGGCCAGCTTGACACCACTCCCCAAACTGCTGGCATGTTTCCTCTTTGCATTGCATAGATCAGGCCAAATCCACGCTATAGGATGGTAGGGCATTCTGCTTTAACCAGAAGAGCACACTGGTAATATCTGGAGAATTGGTTGAGGGGCTATGATAATTCACCATGGCCAACTCACTACAGCCAACTCACCATGGCCATCTTGCTGTGGCCAACTTGCAGCCAACTTGCCACCGCCAGCTCTCCACAACCAACTCACTGTGGGACTGCTCACTGTAGGACAAGAGTTTATGTATGCTAATATCAAAGAAATGGTGGAATAGAATCATTTAAGAAAGGATGCAAAAGGAGGACAGGATGAAATGTGAATGACAAAAATTAAAACCATTTTTTATTTATTTTAAATAATTAAATTGAATTGTTAAATTGTCCCATGGCAAATTGTCCTGTGGTGAGTTGGCCATAGTGAGTTGTCTGTGGTGAGTTGTCCCATTCTTATTGGCCTAAAAGCCATATGTTGAGATATACTATGTTTAGATTTGAACTCTAATAATTACTTTTAAATCACCTTCTAAATGTGCAAATCATCATATGCAAAGTCATCTTTCTTCAGCCAGATCTTTCATGCTGAGATGGCTGAAATTTTCCTCACCCTACTCTGTAAGATTTATAATCTAGATTTACTTACATTTGTAGTACATATTTATTCTTTAGTGTTTTTTATGATTCTTGACCTCTAGCAAAAGGCCAGGGATAATAAGCATACAGTCTAGGGCTCTTTGTTTATCTGTATAAATGCTTCTTTTGATATGTACCATGCTGCTTTTATCACATTCCTTTGGGAGGCAAAAGTAACTCATCCTTAATTATAGATAACTTAAAGTGACTCTACTGCAATCTTAGTTCACCAGACAATGTCTGTGCTAAATTGCAACATGGGTTAAATTTGCTAATGAAATGTTCAACCTGACAGAGTAGAACTGCTTCAGAAGACAGGACAAGAAATTACAAGGCAATAGATCTCATTTAGACATAGAGAAAAATTCCTAATAGTTAGTGCCATTCAGCTGTGGAATAGTCTGCTCTAGAGATGGACTTTCTTGTGCTGAACATGTTTAAATAAAGGCTCGATGACCATCTCTTAGGAACAATGTCATCACTGTATGTCAGAAGGTTGGATTAGATGATCTTTAAGATTCTCCAAATGTTATATTCCGATTCTATTAGAATCTGAAGTAACCTTAGAAGCCATCTCCTGCTCAAAGATAAATGAAATCTGTAATGCAGAATGAATTAACCGCAGCTCTGACCAATGGCCGTCCAGTTTTTATTTAAACATCTCTAGCACAGGGAGGCCTATTATTGCTTTATGTCATTGAACTCATCTTGCAATTAAAACCCTTCCTTACAATCCTTTCTGTTCCTTATTCTAAGAAGTCATCTATATATAATAGAGGGATAGAATCAAGATCACGTAAAGTCTTGATACTATTTTATAATGCCTTGGTAAAACCATGCTTGGAATACTGCATCCAGTTTTGTTTGCCACAATGTAAAAAAGGATGTTGAGACTCTGGAAAGAATGCAGAGAAGAGCAACAAAGATGATTACCAGACCGGAGGCTAAAACATAAAAGAATGATTGCTGGAATTGGGTATGTCTAGTTTAATTAAAAGAAGGACCAGGGGGTGACATGGTGGCAGTGTTCTGATATCTCAGGGGTTGTCATAAAGAAGAGGGAGTTAAGGTCTTCTGGTTTGAGCTTCTTCGGTGACAGACCAAAACCTTATCTCTGCAAGGCTTCGATCCGTGCTCGCCACTGGAGTGCCCGAGCCAGCTGGTTTCGGGGCTAAGCCACCCCATAGAGGTGGTGAAGAGGGGGGAGTCTGCCTGCAGGGTTGAGGAGAGCCGCATCTCTCCTCCCCAGCTGGCCATTACTCCCTTTCCCAACGGTAGTCAGAAATGTCCACCACAAAGAAGAACTCAACCGGAAAAGAATGTGCAGGAGGAAAATAAGAAGAAAAAGTTTTAGTTGACCAGGTCAAACATCAAAAGCAACAATAAGGTACCCTGGAATTTAAACTATTTAAGAAAAAACCAATAATATTGTTCCCTAA